TTCCATCTCATTTCCCTTTGGGGTTGCTGTAGGTGATCTGGAAGTCTGGTTTTGAGACTTATTTATGTGTTTTCTCATTTCGATTGGAGGTGGTGGTGGCTGTTTGTGCCTGCATGGATTACCTCCTCTGAGCTGGGAGAGGTGGTGGGACAGGGGCCAGGAGCAGTGGTAGGAATGGTGGCCCAAAAGCCCTTTCCTCTGGGCTGGGACCAGTGTGAGGGATGGTGGCCCCAAAGCCTCTTCCTCTGGACCAGGAGCAGTGGGATGGTAGCTCAGAAGACCCTACCTCTGGGCCGGGAGCAGTGAGACTCAGTACAGTAGTCTGGTGGTCCGGTGTCCTCTCTGTCTTTGTAGTGTGGAACCAGGTGGCTGCACAGAGGAGCGGGGGGTGGGGGGGCTGTGCCCAGTGGATTGTTGCCAGGGCACGGGCTGATTCAGTGTGTTCCATGTGACTCGTGACCTTGGTAGTGCGTACCTCCTTCACACTTTTATTTCATTATTTTACCCCTTTTTCTGAAATGCGCATGTCTCTGGTATGTGTGCTTCTCTTCCTCTTGCCCTTTTCCTCCCAATACAGTTTATATTGGGTAAGGGAATTCTCCCCTGAGCCTTTATCTCCCTCCTAGTTTTATCCATATCTCTTCACCTGACTTCTTTCTCCTGTGTCTTCTTCAGTCCCAATTTTTCTTTTCTTTTGTCTCCTCTTTTCATTTGTCTTCCTTTAACTTTTTCCTCTAATATTTATGTCAGTCATAGAATCTTTTCCCATCCCCATTTCTCACTACCAATTTTGTACCCAATTTTCCCCTCATTCCCTTCTAAATATGTAACACACCCTTACTATCATTAGGATCTTTTGTTCCTTTCTATTTTCTACTTCCCATACCACATGGCAAAAAATTTTTTTTTTTAAAAACACTTTTTTTTTCTTTTTTCTCTTCTCTTCTCCCCTCTGGCATTACCTGGTCCTCAATCCCCCAGGCTTTAGATAGCTGACTATAAAATTAAGGCTGAATGCTGGTCTCACCATTAGAGAAGACATAGCCATTACATTTAGTGCACATTAACTGTGGGAAAAGACTTGAGTTGTTAAGTTATTTACATTATAACCATGGATTTCTTCTCTAGGCTAAAAGGAGACCCAAAATAGGATCTTGTAATGGATAAGCCTGTTATTGCTGTAGCTGATTTGATTGCATAGGAATAATCCTGACTCAGTGGACAATTTCTTGCTAGTGAGTCTGTCTGCTGATTCCACCAACACACTCAGGGAGAGGGACAGCAAGAGTTCCTAACCCAAGGTCTTGCACCAGATCAGACTCCAAGAATGCCTAAAACCTGGCTGAAAAAAGTACTGAGTCTGAGTTAGCTTCAGTACTGCATGGGAGGGATCAGAGGAGTTACTGGGGTGCAAGCATTCAGACTTTCTAGCACAGAAGCTACTTGGGAGTCACATA